CTTTCCTCAAATTTTTTATAAGATTATTTATGTATTTTTATATATTAATATTACAATAAAAAAGAGTAAAAACAATGTTTTTAACATTTATTTTCCTTAACACAATATCTAATTTATAAAATATTCTTTCCACACTTTTTGAAAGAAAAATGTTTCCTCCTAACCTTATTTATCTTGGACTTGGCAACTTTCTTACCAACTTTTCTTATACTAATTTCAACCCTATTTCTTATACTAATTTCAAATGAACATCCCTAAACTGCCAGCTAATAACCCAACAAAGTTTCATTATAAAACTTATTAATTTTTCGTATAATATTTATCAATTTTTTACATAGTATTTTCTTAACTTTTCGGAAAAAAATCTTTTCTAATAAAGTTGGTTTTTAACTAATTAGGCCCAAATATTATTGAAGACTGGGCCTAATATTGGAGCCCACTTTACAGTAAACAAAAATAATCTAAGGAAGCCAAGGCCTTAGCCCAAGTGGTTGCCCATTACCGAAGCTGGCAATTCACCTGGGTTCAAAAAAATGAAAAATGTAAGGGTCCGTTTATAATATTGGTATTTTTTGTTTATTTATTTATTTATTTCTTTTATTTTTAACAACCAATAATATATGGTAATTTAGCAATAAAAATAAAAATATTACTAAATTACTACATATATAATTAATTGTTAAAAATAAAAAACAATAACGTAAACCAAAAATAACAGCGGTACTCTTCGGCCCTAAGCTAAAACCTGGGCATCCCATGTGTAGACCTGGGCTCTAAGCCCGAGTGTTGCGCCTGTAAATGGGCAATTGAGGGATGAGTCTTATAGTCCTAGGGGTGAGAGTTGAAGCGCAAACCATATAGGCCTCTCTTCTGCAAGTGAAACAAGTCTATAAATGATATATTTACAAATGTTATGCACTATTATAAACTTAAAATTATAATGTTGTTTTAAGTAATTGATTTTTTTAAATTTAAAATTCAATCTTAATATTTTATGTATTTATTCATTTAATAAAATTTACAATTATAAATTTACAATCTTAAATAAGATTATAAGTATATAATCATTACTAAATTTGTAAAATGGTTCTAAACTTGAGAATGCAGATTTCAGTTAAATTCATGTTGGCAAATTAACAAGTAATGGACTAATACATTTGAAGATACCTTAGGCATGAAATTAAACTACATTCAAAATTTATTTTGCCTAACCTCTAGTTAGGCTCCTTACATATAGAGAAATACAAATCTCAAGTTAACAAACTAGAACAGGAAACAGGAAACACATTCATATAATTCCTACAGTTGATAAGGGTTGTTGCAATTAAACTTCAGAAGCAGTTTGCGGATTCGAGTCGAAAACCCGCATGATATTCCTAGTCTGATCGATATTTTGGGGATTATTTTCTCTCTGTTCCTCATTCTCACTGTTTTCACCGCAGTTAGGGGGTTGTTTTCCGAATTTGGCGATATCAATGCTTTGTTGGGGCGACTAAACCTCTGCTGCCACCAACATCTTGGACTTATTCTTGTATACTGCATACAGCAACATCTGAAGCAACCCAAATACTACTCCCGGAATGTTGGGAATCTGCAATCAAAACCAGTCCTTCATCTAATTAATTAATTATGATTATTTTGATTAGGTAATTAGTTAATTAGTTAATGAAAGCTCACTTTTAAAGGAGGAAATTAAAAGTTGTGTTGTGACTCGCAATTTTCTTTTCTAAATTAACCCCTCTTTTGGGTTTTATATTCTAAATTTGAAGCATCTAAGTTTTTTTTTTGAACTGCATGCGTGAAGCATCTAAATTAAAAGTTTCAAAACTCTTGACTGCCAAACTGTTCTGCTCCAGCCACTTGTACATATACGTGACATTTTTATTAATTAGTATAATAAAAGTGGTCAGATGTGTCGCTTACCGTCACGTACAGGTCCTTGAGGAATATGCCATAAAAGAGCCACATAACAGCGCTTACGGTGAGGCAAAGTGATAAATTAAAGGGCATGTACTCCACACTTTTGGTGCGAATGACCAGCCTCTGTAAATTTATTAGCAGATAGTTAGTATATACATGTACATTTTCTGGGTAAGAAGCTTAATTATATGTTTGTAAGTGGGAAGGCCAAAAGCAAGATTAATTGTAATAATTAAAATATATTCTCACCATAATGCTTAAAGGTGCCACAAAGACAATGAGAGAGAATATCATACAAATCCATCCTAACACTTGAACACGTGTGGATCCTTTTGTTAAAAAGTGTGAGAGAAGAAGAATTGAGCAGAATCCCATGAAATGTAATAAAAGAAGTAACTTCAAAGTTAACATCTGCATTTTCAAATATCAGTTCAATATAATTAGATTATGTATAAAATTTATTTTCTTGCAAAAAGAAGAATTTTTTTCTTTTTTTTTGCTTTTTTATAGATATTGCTTATGCGCTGGACTAAGAATACATATGTAAATGTAAATTTATTACTTACCCTGGCTTTCCTTGGGGCATAAGTGATGTAGACAGCAATGTAAATGGTCTCCACGACGCAACCAAAGGCATTGATCGTGATGAGGAGGAAAGCGTCAGATTTGAGTAAGGCGTAGTAAATCCAAAGCATTGCACTGAAGAGGGCAGTCAAATATGGAAGAGATTGAAAGCCCTCGGTTGATTTCTTCTTCCAAATCTGATAGAAAGTTGGTCTAAAAGAGTAATCATATATATATATATATGTAGCCATGGTTAGCATATATATCAATGACTCTTAATCTTCAAATTTATAAAACAATGAAAATGCTCGTACAATGTTTTACTTACATTGGAGCTAGGAAAACCACGAACGAGGAAATGTTGCCTAATACATATCAAGAAAAAATAGTTACGTGAAGATTTTAATAAAAAAGGATTGATATTCAAAGAGTATAAATTATAGATATATGTACCTAGAACACCAAAAACGAAAAGCCAAGGGTTATGAGTGGAAATCAAGGCCATTTCTTTGCTTCTTCTCTCTAGCTCTCTACTAGCTTCTTCGCTAATGTCTCTCTTTCCTTCTCAAAGGGAAGTGGAAGATCTAGATATGAAGTCATTGCACATGGGTGTGCATGTATATATAGGCGCCGAAGAACCAAAGCTTTTGCATGGGCCGAATGATTGCTGGGAAAAGTAGCGGCGTTGGACGAAATTAGACCAATTGGCAACTCGACTTTTTGATTTTTGATGTTCAACCCAACGCGATCTTCTTTAAGATTGTCGGTAATTAATTAGTATTATACCATGTCACAAAACAATTGGTGTCGGAGAAAAAAGGATTTGAAATAAGAGAATATAAAGAGAAGAAAAATATAAAGATATATGAAAAAAGAAACTTTTTTTTTTCTTAATTTCACTAAACATACAAGGTGCTTATTTAGAGGCTTGTATAGAAAATATTTTATGGTACAAAATCAATTAACCTAATTATATCAATCAATTATAATGTAAATCCAATCAATATCAATTAATTATAATGTGAACTCAATCAATATAAATATAATATGAATATTCTGTAACATCCCTTCTCAAACTTAAGGTGGTGATAAGGAGACCAACTTGAGTTTGGAAAAAAGAGTGTGGAAGCGTCCAGGAAAGTGAGATTTTGGTGAAATGATCTACATATTGAATATGTAAATCGTGCAGTTGATGGCACTGGAGAAGAAGGAGGCAATATCAAATTTGGGCAACAGTAATGTCAAAAATTCAATTGCATCAAGAGCAAAATCAACGACAAGAAATCAAGAGCAAAATTAGCGACAATTGGATGTGAGAAGACTGGAGCGACACTAGTCGTGGGAGTAACACGTATTGCCGGTGCAACAAAGGAACATGATCAAGAAAACCCAATTGCAAATAAGTTCAAGAAAGAAAGCAAAGATGATGATGATTGGCACCACCGACAAGCAAAGTAGTAACTCACAAATGAGATGAGCAGTAATTGTAAAAAAAAAGCATCAAGACTTTGATACCATGATAGAAATATAAAGAGAAGAAAAATATAAAGATATATGAAAGAAGAAACTCTTTCTTTCTTAATTCTTTCTTAATTTCACTAAATATGCAAGGTGTTTATTTATAGGTTTGTACAAGGGAATATTCTATGATACAAAATCAATTAATCTAACTATATCAATCAATTATAATGTGAACCCAATCTATATCAATCAATTATAATGTGAACCCAATCAATATCAATCAATTGTAATATGAATTCAATCGATATAATTATAATATGAATATTTTGTAACATCTCCCTTCAAACTCAAGGTGGTGATAAGGAGACCAACTTGAGTTTGGAAAAAAGAGTGTGAAAGCATCTAGGAAAGTGAGCTTTTGGTGAAAAGATCTACATATTGAATATGTAGATTGATGCAGTTGACGACACTAGAGGAGAAGGAGGCAATATCAAATTTGGGCAACAGCAATGTCGGAAATTCAATTGCGAGAAATCAAGAACAAAATCAATGGCAGGGAATCAAGAGCAAAATTAGCGACAATTGGATGTGAGAAGACTGGAGCGACACTAGTCGTGGGAGTAGCACGCATTGCCGGTGCAACAAAGGAACAAGATCAAGAAAACCCAATTGCAAATAAGTTCAAGAAAGAAAGCAAAGATGATGATGATTGGCACCACGACAAGCAAAGCAGTAACTCACAAATGAGATGAGCAGTAATAGTAAAAAAAAGCTTCAAGGCTTTGATACCATGATAGAAATATAAATAGAAGAAAAATATAAAGATATATGAAAGAAGAAACTCTCTCTTTCTTAATTTCACTAAATATACAAGGTGATTATTTATAGGATTGTATAAGAGAATATTCTACGATACAGAATCAATTAACCTAACTATATTAATCAATTATAATGTGAACCCAATTAATATCAATAAATTATAATGTGAATCCAATCAACATAATTATAATATAAATATTCTGTAACATCCCCTTCAAACTCAAGGTGGTGATGAGGAGACCAGCTTGAGTTTGGAAAGAAGAGTGTGGAATCATCCAGGAAAGTGAGCTTTTGGTGAAAAAATCTACATACTAAAATTATAGATCGATGCAGTTGACACCACTAGAGGAGAAGGAGGCAACATCAAATCTGGACAACAGCAATGTTGGAAGTTCAAGTGCGAGAAATCAAGACCAAAATCAACAACAGGAAATCAAGAGCAAAATTAGCGATAATTGGATGCGAGAAGACTGGAGTGACACTGGTCGTGGGAGTAACACGTATTGCCAGTGCAACAAAGGAACAGGATCAAGAAAACCCAATTGCAAATAAGTTCAAGAAAGAAAGCAAAGATGATGATAATCGGCACCACCTACAAGCAAAGTAGTAACTCACAAATGAGATAAGCAATAATTGTAAAAAAAAGCCTCAAGGCTCTGATACTATGATATAAATATAAAGAGAAGAAAAATATAAAGATATATGAAAAAAGAAACTCTTTTTTTCTTAACTTCACTAAGGACACTGATTCATGCACACCACCCATTACACACCACTGTTACACACTCTAATAGTTTCTATTATATACACTGACGGTCTCCTGACTCACCCAACCTTTTTCGTCCTCACCTGATCCATCTTCCTCCTCACCTCCATCCTTGTCCTAATCATACTCACCTCCATTCTTATCCTAATTATCTGCAAGACAATTGCCAACCCTTTACCAAGTTCCCACCACCTTCTTCCTTTTTTTTTTTTTGTTTACCCGGGTTCTCTTGGAAAACTTGACCTGGGTTCTCTTGGAGAACCCAGACCGAGAGAAAGGCAAAAAAAAAAAAAAGAAGAAGAAAGAAAGAGGAAGAAGAGAGACAATAATTAGCATGGCATACATGATGATAGAAAAACTGATGCCAACATATATGTAAAGGTGCTCTCAATCTGGACAATGGAAAGAACAAAGTTATGCACATCTTTTATACATACAAACTGAACTAGTTAATCATACTTACAAACTCGATAATCGGATGATAATATTTGAGACGAGCTTGTATGTATATACTTGATAGAGTTGCTGAGATGAAATTTAGGATAGTTGCTAATCCTTGAGAACCTAGACTGAGAGAGAGAGAGAAAAAAAAAAAAAGAAGAAGAAAGAGGAAGAAGATAATGGATGAAGAGGATGGTAACAGAGTTAAGTGTAATTAATGGAGATAACAAAAATTGAAGTGTGTGTAACGGAGGGTGTGGATAAATTGGGTAAGCCTATCATTTCCTTTTCACTAAATATAGAAGGTGCTTATTTATAGGTTTGTACAAAAGAATATTTTATGGTACAAAATCAATTAACCTAATTATATCAATCAATTATAATATGAGCCCAATCAATATCAATCAATTATAATGTTAATTCAATCAATATAATTATAATATGAATATTCTGTAACAGGTCTAAAAGAGTAATCATATATATATATGTAGCAATGGTTAGCCTATATATCAACTACTCTTAATCTTCAAATTTATAAAACAATGAAAATGCTCGTACAATGTTTTACTTACATTGGAGCTAGGAAAACCACGAACGAGAAAATGTTGCCTAATACATATCAAGAAAAAACAGTTACGTGAAGATTTTAATAAAAAAGGATTGATATTCAAAGAGTATAAATTATAGATATATGTACCTAGAACAGCAAAAACGAAAAGCCAAGGGTTATGAGTGGAAATCAAGGCCATTTCTTTGCTTCTTCTCTCTAGCTCTCTACTAGCCTCTTCGCTAATGTCTCTCTTTCCTTCTCAGAGGGAAGTGGAAGATCTAGATATGAAGTCATTGCAGATGGGCATGCATGTATATATAGGCGCCGAAGAACCAAAGCTTTTGCATGGGCCGAATGATTGCTGGGAAAAGCAGCGGCGTTGGACGAAATTAGAACAACTGGCAATTCGACTTTTTGATTTTTGATGTTCAACCCAACGCGATCTTCTTTAAGATTATCGGTAATTAATTAGTGTCGGAGAAAAAAGGATTTGAAAAGAAAAAGGAGTCTCTTGATTGTGCAAATACACTGGATCACTTTGCCCTATATGTCATCACGCCTCAGCGAGTACCTTTTTGCCTGGCCTCCACCTCAAAGTATATTAACGAGTTTAAGCAAGATTCGTTTCTAATTATATATTTTTTTTTGAGAGATATAATTATATTTATTTAATTAAACAAGCTTTGGGTTCTATTGATGTGTCGCAATCGCCCTCACTGTGCAAAATTTTACTAGTGAATTCAAAAGCAAGCTGAAGACCCACAACCACAGGATGTGCAAACATTTCTTGTTGGCAAATATTTGCTAATCAATGGATAAAAACCATGCTAAGGCTTTAAGGAGTTTGACGTTCAAATTTCAAGATCCGCACATTACAAGTTTAAATTCATTTTATGTTAGCTGGATATAAACAATTTTAATAAATTATATTTATTTTTAAAGTTGAAATCTTATTTGATATTGATAAAAGAGACCTAGTTTGTAATATACTCTTTAAATTAGTTAGATTGAATGTTAACATACTATATTATTTGAAAATGTTAGATACGTTAAATATGAGTTGAAATATCTTTTATATTTTAAATTAATAAACTATTAATATTTAATTTATAAAAAAAATTGTTAAGATACCCATGGCATTATGGAAGTGAAAGGTGTGCCATGGACTCCAATATCGTGAGTGACATCACCATCAAATAGCTAGGAAGAGGAAGCCTTTGAAGTTAAGTGCTAAAACTCCACTTATAAGACTATATCCTGCG